GACTAATGTTGGCTGAATTCATATGTACTGGAAGTCTGCCGTGTTCCTCCGACTCCTCCGACTCCGAAATAAATAATTTTTTTGTTAGAAGTATTTATTTAAATTTTGTACGTTAATCTCGCCATATCAGACCTTTCTCCTTCCGGCTTCCGTAGCGGAGCACTTCCGGTTTGTGCCTTCTGCGTGGTTTTTGGGCGTGTCGGGTAAATAAACTGGAGCTTCAGCCTGAGTTCTTTCCTGAGCGCAAGAAAACTGTCTGACAGTAAGTTAACAACCTGTTTGGTTCCGTTTAAGAGAAGCTGGTTCTGTTCGGTTCGTTGTTTATAAGCTAACATGCTAACTTACAGCTGTTTTTATTACTTTAAGCTGCTGCTGTGACAGTTTTAGCTCCTAGTTTTAGGTTAATTGTGTCTGCAATGACTGTTTTTTTGTGGTCAGAAGAAAAAGCACGACCCAATTTTTTGAGAGATGTTTGTGTTTAGTTCATGAAGTGAATTTTAAATAGAATTGATGTTGTCTTGTTTAATGTTTGAGTTTTATAGTAAATCTACATGATGTGTCTCAGTCTGTCACCAGGTGATGTTTAAACAAACCCAGCAGGTTTTTAATTTGATCCAAGGTTCTTGTGGCTTAAAACGTTTGGACAAAACATTTTTCAGGTTTCAATAAATATAAGACTGAGTTTAATAATCCAAAACTGTAGGATTTAAACTTGTTAATCAGTAGTTAATTTGATATTAGATTATATTTTTACTAACTTCCTGCTGTATTAAATAAGCCTGAACCTGCTAATTAAAGAGGAACATTCAGAATGTTTTAAGTGAAGTCATGTAGAGAAGTTATGATGAGTTAATATCTTACCTGCTGTAGATAACTTCCTAACTTCAGTTTGAAGAAACAGAGTTTAATTGTGACCTGACTGTTTGGGTTATTTTCTAGCAGTAGTAGCAGGTAGCTGTAGCACTAGCTTGGAGTATTTTTTAAACAATATTCTGTTAATTTTCATGAAGTGGGCGGGACTTAAAACTTGTAACCAGCCTGCAGAGGAGGTTCACCTCAGTGCTCTGAGCTCGTCAGTCTGGTCAGAATTAAACTCTTTTTCTCCATCTTTTTTCAAAGAGTTTCCTACAACAGGTAAGATGTTAACTGGATTTAAAAATGGCAACTTTTTGTTTCAGAAATGTGGTTCCCTGCTCTCCATCTTGTCTAAATAGAACATTTACTGAAAATTGTTTAAGTTTGACTTTAAATCAGTGCATAAAACTGAAATCCAACCTGTATATTTGAGTTTTGAGCAGTTTAAGGTTTGATATAAAGCTGCAGCAGCAGGATCGACGCCCTGCTCTCTGTTTCTGCAGGCACCATGGCTTCTCCTGCTCCTCTGACGAAGGCCAACACCAGCTTCTGCCTGGCTCTGTTCAGTAAGCTGGGGGACAACGACAGGACTGAGAACGTCTTCTTCTCTCCATTCAGCGTCTCCTCAGCTCTGGCCATGGTCATGCTGGGAGCCAGAGGCAACACGGCCACGCAGATGTCCGAGGTACAGAGCTGAGCTTCTTTAAAATAAATCTGAAATGGAGACTTGGTTTCTAAACGCCGTCACAGGAAGCTGAACGTCAAAGCTCTGTGAAGACACGGTGTTAAACTGAAGCCTTTGTTTTCACTCGTCAGCAGAACAGATCAGTCCTGATCCTGACACCAGGGTTGGGTCAGAGCTGCGTTTCTACGGCAACATAACAATAAATACTGTGGAGGGCTGATAAAACCATAAAAACTCATTTACTCAGGTCGTCACGCCTCGTTCTGACTGACTGTGGAGCAGCCAGAGGCTTCAGCACTTCCTCTTTACTGCAGAGAAGTAGAGAAACTGCTTAAATTACAGTTTTTATCTTTGATCTTCAGCTGATTTTTCAATTTAATGATTTATTAATTTC